AAAGGTAGGCGTAATATTAGCTTCTTCATCTTTAAAAACAGCAGTTGGGACAGCATTACTTTCATGGGCTGAGGAAACATTTTCTTCAAAATCAACCGTTGGAGAAACAATGTTCTCTTCTTCAAAATTTAAAGAAACATTTGCTTCTTTTTGAAGAGCAAGGGTTGGGGAAATTTTTATTTCTTTTTCCAGAGAAACGGAAATGTTGGCTTCCTCTTCAAGAGTTAAAGACACTTCACCTTCAAAGGTTGGAGCAAATTTTATGTCTTCTTGAAGGGTGGTCCTAAGTGTATCAGGTACATGACCACTTGCTTCTTCATAAGTATCGGTCACAGTATCCAAATACATTCTGTAGCCTGATGTTAGATATAGTGCTGTGGGCGAACTGGTGGATGAGTGAGAAGTGTTTGAGATGTCTGGAGAGCGAGTGGTAACTGAACTTGCTCCAGACACTTGCAGGTCTTCAGATTTTGCTGTGGGCAGCATTTTATCCTCATTTTCCAAACTGAGCGTGTCTTCAATTTCTAAGCTTGCACTTCCCTCCTGTTTAGAGTTGGGGGACTCCCACAGCTGTGAGGCTGTAGAAAGAATATCCAAGCCCAGTTTGTCAGAAAGGGGTGACTGAGATGAGGCTGTCAAATGTGGAACCACTGTCTGAGGTTCAGCATGGGTGCTGCTGGCAGAAGCAATGGGAGATGGGTGAGTGGTGAAGCCAGAAGTTGAGGAATCTGATGTGGAGATGAAACTGGCTGGACTCATATCGAGTTTGCTTTCTGGAAAAGAGCATAGAACATTATGGGATTACATATTGTTTTTGAGAAGTATATTTAATTGCTTGGATGAGAAAAATTAGAAGAAACAATAAGTCTACTGTCAATCTCTGACCTTCAGACCAAAAAAATTAGAAACAGGGAAACAGCTAGCTTTTCAGAAGGTAACAAAATCTGCCCTCTTCACATAGGTGACCAAACTCTAGGACGTTACAGCTCTTAGCCAGAAGGTAGTCCAGAATATAACCCTTTTAGTTCTTCTATTATATTAAAAAACATAAAATGTGACATGGATATCTCATGCTAGCCTAACTCTTGACAAGAAAGTAATTTATCTAAGATAATAATGTTTGAACTTTTGTGGGACATGCACATACCTTCAGAAATATCTCCAGAACCATCCAAAGGAGCCCACACTGAGGTTAGCACCTCCGGAGTAGATTCAGTAGTTTGGGATAATTGTGTAAGAAGTGTTGCCTCTTCTTCTTCTTCTTTTGAGGCCTCAGTTGGGGGAAACATCTGCTCAGGGTCTACACGGGTCTCCTCCAGCTCCACTTCAACCATGGGGTTAAGGGTTAAAGTAGTAGCCTCCAATAAACTGTCCTCTTTAGAACGGTTGCTGTCGGTCTCACTGTAGTTGGGTTCTGATTTGTTAAAAGACAGGGTGGTCTGTTGTACTTCTTTGGTCTCATTCAGAGTTCCAGATGGCTCTGTGTTTACTTCAATATTTGTGTCTGGCTCTGTCTGGTTCTGCATCTCAGGCTCAAATGTGGGTCTTTCAGACTGCTGAAAGGTGAGACTCGAGTTCTGGCTGGAATATGTTTCATTGTAATCAGTGGGCAGAAATGATGTGTTCTCTGCTGAATTGTGGGTTTCTGTGATAGTGCTGCTCATCAGTGCTGTAGGATGCTGGGAATCGTAGCTCATTTCTGTGGGAGATAAAGTTTGGTCGAGCGGCTCGTGTAGTGTAGGCGTTGTGTGGAGGGGAGACTCTGTTGTGTCTGATATCAGCATTGGGTGTGTATCAACCGGGCTTTCTGTAGTTACAGAGACAGTAAAATAAGGCAATGATTCAAGCATGCTCTGGGCCTCTCGCTCCACTTGTTCTGCTAGTTGGTTCAACTGAATTTCTTGATATTTTTCCGTAAGAATAACAACATTGTGTTCAATGTCTTCAGGTTCTGTGCCCACATAATCCATCGGAGAGTCAGTGGAAGCATTTCTGTTTTCTGCAGAGAGCAGACAAACAATTAAATGTAACATGTGAAATATGGAACAAACAAATCTAGTTGTGCTTTCTTTCTTGTTAAATATGCACTACATATTGTTCCAACATCATATTTTTATTCCCTTCTAGAGTAGCTTTTCATGAGTCATAACAGTCAAAATAATGCTCATTTATCTGATGATGGGCTTTGATATGAACTCTCAGTTCATTCTCTGTCTAAATCAATATGTTTGGGCCCATCTCCCTTCAAGCCAAGTTTCAAGCTGTGTTTGAGATTACCAGGTTATCTTCATATACAGATGCCATCATATACAGTGGCTTGCAAAAGTATTCTGCCCACTTGAACTTTCCCACATTTTGTCACATTACAGCCACAAACATGAATCAATTTTATTGGAATTCCACGTGAAAGACCGATACAAAGTGGTGTACACGTGAGAAGTGGAACGAAAATCAGACATGATTACAAACATTTTTTACAAATAAATAACTGCAAAGTGGCGAGTGCGTAATTATTCAGCCCCCTTTGGTCTGGGTGCAGTCAGTTGCCCATAGACATTGCCTGATGAGTGCTAATGACTAAATAGAGTGCACCTGTGTGTAATCTAATGTCAGTACAAATACAGCTGCTCTGTGACGGCCTCAGAGGTTGTCTAAGAGAATATTAGGAGCAACAACACCATGAAGTCCAAAGAACACACCAGACAGGTCAGGAATAAAGTTATTGAGAAATATAAAGCAGGCTTAGGCTACAAAAAGATTTCCCAAGCCTTGAATATCCCACGGAGCACTGTTCAAGCGATCATTCAGAAATGATCCCCAAGACAAGGCCATCCACCTAAACTCACAGGCTGAACAAGGAGAGCGCTGATCAGAAATGCAGCCAAAGAGGCCCATGGTGACTCTGGACGAGCTGCAGAGATCTACAGCTCAGGTGGGGGAATCTGTCCTTAGGACAACTATTAGTCGTGCATTGCACAAAGTTGGCCTTTATGGAAGAGTGGCAAGAAGAAAGCCATTGTTAAAAGAAAACCATAAGAAGTCCCATTTGCAGTTTGCCACAAGCCATGTGGGGGACACAGCAAACATGTGGAAGAAGGTGCTCTGGTCAGATGAGACCAAAATGGAACTTTTTGGCCAAAATGCAAAACGCTACGTGTGGCGGAAAACTATCACTGCACATCACTCTGAACACACCATCCCCACTGTCAAATATGGTGGTGGCAGCATCATGCTCTGGGGGTGCTTCTCTTCAGCAGGGACAGGGAAGTTGATGGGAAGATGGATGGAGCCAAATACAGGGCAATCTTGGAAGAAAACCTCTTTGAGTCTGCAAAAGACTTGAGACTGGGGTGGAGGTTCACCTTCCAGCAGGACAACGACCCAAACATAAAGCCAGGGCAAGTGGAATGGTTTAAAACAAAACATATCCATGTGTTAGAACGGCCCAGTCAAAGTCCAGATCTAAATCCAGCCAAGAATCTGTGGCAAGATCTGAAAACTGCTGTTCACAAACGCTGTCCATCTAATCTGACTGGAGCTGTTTTGGAAAGAAGAATGGGCAAGGATTTCAGTCTCTAGATGTGCAAAGCTGGTTGAGACATACCCTAAAAGACTGGCAGCTGTAATTGCAGCAAAGGTGGTTCTACAAAGTATTGACTCAGGGGGCTGAATAATTACGCACACCCCACTTTTCAGTTATTTATTTGTAAAAAATGTTTGGACTCATGTATGATTTTTGTTCCACTTCTCACGTGTTCAAATAAAATTGATTCATGTTTGTGGCTGTAATGTGACAAAATGTGGGAAAGTTCAAGGGGGCCGAATACTTTTGCAAGCCACTGTAGATTACAGACCAGACCTTTTTGAAGCCAGGTATTTATTGCAATCTGAAGCAGGATGTTATTATATCAAACTGTGGCCTTGTTAAATCAGATCAAATTAGAGAAACTGTATTAATCCCAGGGAGAAACTGAGTAAATACGAGCCAAAAAAGGGAAAATCATAAAAGGTCCACTTTAGAGTTTTTGTCAAATTAACAATCAACAGTTTGCATTTAAAGGCACAACATTATCACCTTTGAAACAGTAAACATCATGAAGGCTGGATGGCTCTGGGAAGCCAGTCTGGTTGCTGAATTGGTAGAGAGTTTTGACGCCAGGCAGAGCACCCCCACAGCGTTCCCTTGGGGTTATGATGGGGTACCGTACGCTGCCATCAGACAGCCAGCCAGGGCTGCAATGGTCCAGTCCTTCACTCCAAGCCAAGTAAAGCTGTGCTGTTGTAGCCAGCTCTGCCCCTGCAGCTCTGCAGTACGACTGCGCTTCATTAAATGTTAATTGCTGTGGGATGAAGTCATGGAAAACCTCCCCTACAGACAGAAAATTTGTTCAGTCTTTTACTTTTTCTGGATACAAGTGAGTAAAATGCTGGCACGACTGCAATTATGTGCCAGTCTTAATTTATAATGGATATTTGTATATAGTAAGTGGCATGTTTTTATCTGATGTGATGCATGACATTTCACTACAGAAAGTAAAAACATATAATTATATGTTTGAACTAAATAAAATCATTGTAATAGTTATTGTCCATCACAGATCCCTAATGCCGTTTTCCAAATGTAAAATGTATAATTTGACTTACTGACAAATTAGGCCAGATGTATCATTATTGCATTAAGCCTACTGGCAAAAAAACAAAAAACCCAAATCCTACTATTTACATATAGAAGTTATTAAACTGTTATAATTCCTACCATTAATTTCGTCTACATAACAATAAACATCGAACAGATCATCTGGATCCATTGTCCCATAGTTTCTCACTCCTGGTTGCCCATCCATGTCTCCATAGCAGGCTTCACGAGGCACTTGGATTGGATACCTGCAGCAAAGCAGCAAAACAACCATCATCCTCACTTAAGACTCGACAAACATGTGACATAACATTAATGCTGCATTTGGCGATAGCTTGGTAAATCTGCAACATTACCAGCTGGTAATGTTATGACACGTTTACTCTGTGGTCACTCAATAACCAGCTCACACATGGATACTTATAGAGCAACACAAATATAATGTATTTACATATAACAATAACTATATACAATAACTATAATGTTATTTAAGAGTCTGGGTGTTTTTGTTATCATACTAAAAGGCCTACATACCCATGCTACTTTATTGTTTCCTTTGTTCATGCTGATGGATGGATGGTAGGTAATACAGGATTTCACTATGATTGTACATTTACATGCATTATAATTTACCTATGTATGCATATAATGGCATGCCATTTTGATCTTGTGGGTTTGACACATAGTTTCAAATCTCATTGCCTTAAGTACATTTATACAGTTATTTAACTGACATTACATTTTTGATATAGTCTCTAAATACAGTAAACTAGTTTTGTGGGTCCCCTGCAATACTCAGGTGCTGTTCTACTATATAAAATGTTTTTTACATCATTGTTAGATGGTGTCATTCATATAAATTAGATTTTATTGTCATGAGCCTCTTTTACTGTATGGGTGTATGTTTAACAGAAATGAATCTTGCACTATACAGTTAAAGAGGGTGGACAGTGTGTTGCTAATGAAGTTGTTATAGGTGCATAAATGGGTCAGTTTAGAGGTTGGTGAGTGGTTTCTTATGTTAGGTAAGTATAATATGACATTGTTTTGTAATGTTGCTACCATAGTAAGATAATTTTGTTTGTATTGAGATGTGAAGCACACCTGAGGGGCAGGTGGAGAACGGTACCGCTATACTTTGTAAGTAAGCAACCTCTGAAACACTGTCTGACCGATGAAGATGTCAGTGATTACAAACTTATATCAAGAAGTTGAGTAAAACAACAAAAACATCTACTGTATATCAGCTGCATGAGCCTGTAAGATATGTTTTATCTATCTCTGTCTTTTTAATAAGTTGTACTGTGAGCATGATACAGAGGGCACACAGGTGATGAAATACCTGACAGACTGGTCTGCGAGCCAGCCCGCGTCACACTGCTCATATCCGTCGTAATAAGATGCAAGCAGCTGGTCGGCGGTGGCGATTCGTGCCCCGATGGCCTCACAAGCCCTCTGGGCCTGATGGAAGGTGAAGGCATACCGACCCAAAGCATCTCTGTAGTGGAACACAACACCTAGAAACACACACAGCATGCACATAATAACATACCTACAAATACATTAACTGCATTACCTGTTTCAACTGTTTTAAGTCAATAATTTGGAAAAGCTCCTGGAACAAAGACATCTTACTAAATGGAAAGAAACTGAGCTGGAAACTGAGCTACACAACTAGAAACAACTCATTAATTATCATTACACAGAGGATTGGGTATCTTTGGGTTCAGGCAGTTTTCAGTGGATTCTACTAAGATGAGAGATTCAGATATTTTCTTACCAAAATCACAGTGTGGAACCAATAATCAAACTACGATATGATTTCAAAACACAGGAGTTTTAGCAGAGTCAGTATCCTTCTTGTGGTTTTTCTTTCTTTTTCCGAGAATTGTAGTAGTTAAAAAACACAGTCTCTAATAATTCTGTGTAATCTACCCCAAACTTTACTAATGAGCCATGTCTTTCATCGCGTTACCTTTGACCTTGAGCTCCACGAGGTCACTGGCGTCCTCCAGGCCCTGCTGCACCTCGCAGCGGTAGTGAGCCGAGTCGCTGGAGCGCAGATCTCCCAACCAAAGTGACGCATCATCAGGGAAGGAGGTGTAGTTGAGCAACGCCGCTCGGTCTCGGTACGCTTCATTGACCTTCACCTTGTGACCCCGTACCACTAAGATCTGCGTTTCAACCCCCCTTGATATGACTGACCACTTGACCCTCGGTACAACAGGCGTCGCGGAGGTGGAGTTGGAGATGGGGGACAGAGACACCACACAAGGGATGGAAATGGAGCTGCTCAGTGGAGCAACAACTGGTCCTGAGTGGGGGATGCTCACGTGGAGCTGCTCCACCTCATCTGGAAATTAATAAAAAGAAAAGAAAAGTGAATCATGCTCCCACTTCTCAATGCACTTTTGTAGTCTCTGTTTATGGAATCAAAAAGTGATCAGGGGAAATGTAGACACCGTACCGTATGTGTACCGTAGAGTTTGGGTGGGAAAGGCCAGTGTGAGATGGCAGACTGCATAAAGAAGTGGAAGTATCTGCACATGTCTGTGGAGATTAAAAAGGCAAACACAATAAAATATTAATAAAATAAATAAAATGAAGAAGAAAAGCAGATATTTTTCTTCCAATTTCACAAATATGTGGAATTAAATAAAAATGGATTTTTAATAAGTACAATGATTTCTGACATCGGAGGTCATATGTTGTGTCGGTTCATCTTATCTTATCTAACGTATAAGAAGGAACAAATGTCCGAGACACATAAGAAAACTGAGGGATTCAGTTTCAGTTTTCAGGATATCAGTTGAAAGACTGAAATAACTATCCACATTATATTGAACAGACTTGGTGTTATCCTGCTGACATAAAGGAGCTGTAATAATGTTTTATTAGCTGCACAAATGTAATTTCTATCCCATAAAATGTCAGAAACAGGTCTCAGTATAATACCAGAGCTTTTAAATTTACCATAAACTTGGCCTCAACACATCAGTGAAACTGCTTCAACAAACACTGAGCATTATGGTTCTCATAAAACTACAATTTACAGCAGGCCTTTTTCCTATAAGTCAGGATTAGTTTTAGCTGAGCACACTAGAAAACTGGCAACAGAGTCTAAACATTAAACAAATACAATAACTATAAAATTTTGTGAGAAAGACCTTTTGTTTTAAGTTGTAACTTTGGAGCAGAAGCTCTGAGTAAAACACACGTGTCCCAAAAAAAGCTCAGCCATACAGTATAAAAGACCAACTTCTCTGGTTTTCGAAAGGAAGCTGGAAGCAGAGGTTCCTGACCACAAGTCATTCATCACCTCCAGGAGCTAATGACACGGCGTTTCAGCCCAGCGGCATCCTGCCAGTTCTCCGTCACCAGCCTGGCCCTGTTATTAACCCAGCAGCCGTGGCAAGACATCCACAGCGACTTCACACAACCTCCTGATTGGGCCGTCATTGAAAAACAATTAAATACTGGACAGTTTCAACAGTCGTCAAGGTGTTTCATCAGGATTCCTGTCAGTGTCATATTCAACCAACCTCACACTTCACCAGAAACACTGATAGTGCAAGGTTAGACCTTTAATCTTGCTACCTAAAGTTGTCGGATAAGAAATTTCTTTTATTATAAAACAGAAATTTTACACTGTACAATACAAGTCTTTATTAACTTATTAACTTCAGCCACAACACTTGAAGTTGGAGTAAATACCATTAATAATCTCATTATACTGCAATGTTCTGCTCAGCCTAAACGAACAGCACAGCACGATGGCAGCACTCTCCCCCAACAGAAGAATGCTCTCTGCAACAGCATAACTAGACTGAGCATCAACGACAGACGCCTAAATAATCCTGATCGCATTAAGACCCAGCCCACAAACCACAGGACCCAGAGGATTCCCTGGTCTCCTTCTGTGCCCAAATGGGTCAGAACTGTTTTGGCACCATGACGAGGATGCGTACAATGTGAGGCTGGTGGTAATAACTGGTGGGACCATTGCAAAGCAAGCAATCTGACTGTATATTGCTGTACAAAGAAAACATAGAAACACAGTTCAAGCACTGTAAAAACCTGTGACGCCTGCTTGTGTTTTCTTTCAAAAGAAAGTTTAGTATTTACAGTATACCGAGTGATTAACTGACATAGTGGGAGAAGCAGAAACTTAAAATTGTGGCAGAGGCCACAATTTTCATGCCACACATGTCATTTTATCACTGACTCATAGGAAAATTAGTCTTTTTTCAAATGCTCTGTTCCTCCAAGTCAACAGACTTGCACTTTTAGATCTCAAGGCATCTGAGTGATCGAGGGTTTCTGGAGAAAAATGAAAGTGATCTCTATTTCTATCTCACCCCTGCGATACTGTGGAGCAATGACTTGGGATCCTTATGCTTTTTAAACCTATGTAGAGGATATAAGCAGTTTCACAAGAGGTGAGCGAAGCTCGTTTGAGAGATTTGGACGGTTGGATACTCTGAGTTACACAAAATGCCATGACCATGGTAACTAACCGGGCTTGAGCGACACAGGTGGAAGCAACTGACAGCTGGTGGACATTTGATTGGTGGATTTAAATTTCCTCTCTCCCTCTCGCTCTCTAATCAGCATGACTATCCGGTGCCTAACAGGATCTCTGTTTCTTAGTGGAAGACCAGTGTGTTTTTACAATGCCAAATTTTAAACCCTAACCCAGCGCAGTCAATCCAACACATCGAGTCCAGCAGTAGCAACAATCACACCACTGATAATCTTAAATTTTTACTGTTCTTGTAATGACGGAGATCACAATCTCCGTCATTAACAGCTAAGGAAGGTGGAGCTTTTGCACTGATTAGTGCTTTGCTGATACCACTGATCCAATAAAGCTGTAATTTGCAAAGAGCGTTAAAGATGATGGTTTAAACAGCCATATATGTTATCACATCACTTAGTTTTTTCCATAAACTTTCTCAATATGAGCCTCAGAGCCTCTAGTTGTCTTCTGCAAGGTACGGTACTACAAGAATTGACCTCCTGTATATCAAGTAGATCCCTGGTAAGGAGTCGGCACACACAGCTCAGTAACTTGTGTCACATTAAATGGCCTTCTTTGATGGTAGAATAACTGTTGTCTGTTTTCTTGCCAGCTGGGTGGACTCCATGGTGCTGGTATCACTATTAGTATTCTTGAGAAGAGGTTTCACAAAAAAAGCGAGGAGCGGGCCAAGAGGACAGCTGCACACTGTGCTTTCACTTCATACCAAGTCCCTTACAAAGGGCTTCAGGGAAAATTAAAGGACAGGGCACTGGCACACTTGCTTGCTTTTTCTCTTTTCTTTCTTTCACCCCTTTCATTGATGGAGAAGGAAGTTTCAAAGCACTAAGAATCATTCTAGGGCAGGCTTTGTACAAAAGAAAGGGCCACATTAAGACCCCGCACACTGATTCAAATGGTATAATGTGACAGTGTGCTTAAATACCGGTTTGTGCTTTCAGATTGATGACAGCAGAGAAAATCCTAGTTGCTGCTGGTTGTTTTGTGCCGTCTTTAGATCGCATTTTTCGGCCTCGCCTTCGCCAAGCACTTTGCAGGTCTGCTTGTTTTAGTGAGGTTAGCAGTGAAGACAAGTCAAGCTGAAATCAATGCCACCCACTGCAGCTACGGCCCACAAACTGCAGCCAGCACTCTATCCAAAAGGGCAACTAATCCAGAATCTTCTGTGGAATAATCAGCTACAGACTAACGCATTTATGGAAAAGAAAACATAAGAAATTGGCGTTAAATAAACCTCATCAACTTTATGCAAACATCCCTGTCAGTGCTGCAAAGACATTCCTCTGCAGCCTGCATCAGTGTCAATGCACACAAACCAGGAAGAGGCTCCTGATCCCAATTTAGCCAGCTCAGACATGTCAGTTTGACTGATGTGCTGTAAACTTGGAGGAGTGCTGAGCTGGAACTGGCTTTAGGAGGGATATGTCCAGGATAAAACAGAACAGGGTCCCATAAAAATGCACAGTTTTTGCAACTATGGTCTATTTGTTGTCTTCTTTTCTTCTCCTTCTTTTAATATTTAAGATTTCAGTTTTCAGACTACATGTAAACAGAAGTTAAATGTAATATAAAGCAGCCTGTTCACTTATTTCAACTTCTTTTCTTTTTCTAGTGTATGAAAAAATTATTTAAGCACAGAGTTTATACTCTATCCAGCAGCTGCTTCCTAATGCAATTAACATTGAACAAGATGTTTGACCTGGAAGAAGTTTAAACCATATTAACTAAATCAATTTTATTTATTGGCCCTACACACCAGAACTCTGGTCAGCAGCTGGATATTCAGTTGGACAGTTGTGATTGAATAACTGACTCCCACAAGTATACATTCTTGCTGCTATTTGCCTTAATAACAAATCCATTTATGTTGATGACATTTGCCTGACCTAAACCAGACAGAAACCACTTTTACATCCAGCTCAAAACAAATAAACTTAATGTCAGTCTTTACTTCATTTGGAGACCTTGGCAGGGTCAAAGGAGGTGATTCAGTTCAGAAACAACATCAAACCCAGACTTTGAATATAAACACTGGCTACTGTACACTTAACAGCAGAGCGAGTTGGTAAATGAGGCTATTCACTCAGCACCACACCTCCAACTCTCTACATCATCAGTGGTCTGTCTCCTGTCTACAAGATTACCACTTTGGAAGAGCCACCCACCAGCTGATTCACCACCCACTTTGTCTGGGAACAAATTAAAGTGTGTTTTGCGCAAACACCTGATCCTAGGCTTGACTCAGTGGATCCACAGATGAAGCTCAGCCTGTACAGCTGTCCTTTTATACACAGGAGGCGATTTCCGCTTGTGTTCAGGATCAGGTGGGCTCTGCTTTCTGAGACGCATCACTTTCTCCGTTCAGGGCAAACATGCCCAGGAGTCAGGCACCTGCAGTTTGAGCTCAAATCTGCACTCAAATACTCAGATACACAGACTCTACTAAAGTAGCTTTGCATGAGCGATAGTTAGAAACACTGCAAAGTCTTTCAGCTTACCTGCTTTCTGAAACAAGCTCCTTCCCTTTTAGAGAAGAACCCCTTTAAATAAATCTTATTTTGACTGGCTGCCCCTCTCAAGAAGAAGGTCTGAATACTAGGTGGGTATGGCAACAGAGCTATTCAAGCACCCTGGAGCCTGCACTTTTGGCTCACAGGGGTTATTTTGCATGACATTTGTGTCACGGGGCACAAATGTGTTGTCCTCCGTCATATGCAGTAGCTTAATATTCAGTTTGAATTGCCAGGATTGTTCATTCATTTTGAATATTTTGACATGAGCAGCGATTCAGAGGTCTGAGCAAGGCTTGTTATTTATCTAATTATACACCTGAGTGCAACTCATCCTCAACAACAACAACAAAAACAAGAACAACTTCTGTAACTATAGCTTTAGCTGAACAACCTACTGGTGCAGTGGAGGATCAACAACATATCTGGCTCTAAATTTGAGCAGATGGCCGTCCATTCTCCACCATGCTTTACATTTCATCTTATATGCAGAGTTCATCGCTCTAGTTTGGGTCAGATCTCTAGATAGATTGTGAGCCACATTTTTACCAGCTGTGACTGTGGCTAGTTTTGATTTTGTGATTTTTTGTGTACTGACCAATTTAACATGTAGAGAGGGGAAGGCCACTTTTGTGGGTTTTTCTTGTTGTATGTTTGCCTGTGTTTGTCTGTGGACAGAGTTTGTCCACATGAGAGAATTGCAGCTGTGCAAGACAGTCACTAAACTTTAAGCTGTGCAGCTGAGATCAATATAAAATCAGGATTTGAAGAGGGTTGTGGTCCAGCAATTCGATGGCATCCCACTGGAAGATGATAACATGATTACTCTGTCATGAAATTACAGCATAACCACACCACTGCTTTCTATATCTGCTCAAATCTGACCAGAGAGCCACAAACCTATTAAACAGAAGAAAGAAATCCTTAAAAGTCTGCTTCATCATTCAATTTGCCCTCTGTCTTTCTACCTGTCCATTACTGAACTCCACCTGAGGTGGACCACAGCGAGTGAAGAGTTAAAATACGCACTTAAAACAAAAAGCAGCTTTTTGTTCCCACAGGGCAAATAAAAGCACTGAGTGTGAAATCCCAGGAAAAGCTTTTGAATGGCAGGGGGGGCTTTGTATGAGTCCAAATTGATAGTAAATGCGTTTAAAATAGCCCGTTATCCTTACTTTCCTTTACCTTTATAGGTGTGCATGCGTAAAACACGGAAACACGGTTTGAACACAGTGGGGGACAGCAGTTTACAATTAATTTCAGGACCTTTCGGAGAACATCAATTACTACAGCGCAATTAAGTGGCAATGAGTATAATTGTCTTTAATCATACGTCCATTTAACCTGACACAGGAGATTCAAAAGAACTTTGGAAAGACCAAATCGCATCATCTACTGCGTATCATTGACCCATCGACCTTAAGGGAGAGAAAGAGACGGTAAGCCTACCGGATGACTCTCAGCAGCATCTCAGCTGATGCAGGTTGCACTTCTTTGCTGTAAAGAGTATTTTCCGTGAGCGCCTGTCAGCGTGCTGCAGTGCGACTGTCCTGTCACGGGAAAAGCGGCTCTGGATGCTCTGCGCAGGTAAACGGTGGCTGGGACCGGCACACTCAGAGGCTCGGGGAGAAAAGAGGGAGTTTGGAGAAAGTGACGCCAGATATGAAACCCTGAACTGCCCACTTTTTCACCCAACAATCGGGATGGAGATGGCGCATGCCTGTCAAGGGGGATTGGGAGGGATGACAAGTAAAGAAACCGATGTTATAGGCTATGAAGTGAAGCCTGCAGAGAGGAGATGACCTGCATGTTTTTACTGCAGGGAAGCGGAGAACTCACTGAGCGTCACTTGGATGAACCAGGGTGAGGGGAGAGCAGTCAGCGCAGCGGTCCGGAGTGAGCTGCTGAAGCTGCTGCAGGTATTGATATTGCAGCACAGTCACATATCCCGGAGAACGATAAGGGACAATTTAAAGTACCGCCTCCTTCGTTATCTGTCACACCCCGCGGTATATTTTTAAATCATCATGAATAGCTTTGCATTCTGGCGCAGAGAGAGAGGTCTGGAAAATCCTGCACAAGAGCATTGCCCTGTCATTTACAATCGGAATCTGCAGAGCATGCTTGATTTGAATGGAACAAGCTGAATGCAGTATGCAACCCAGAAGCTTTTGCTATGACTGAAGGGTCAAAACAAGATCACTTTTACCACTTTAAAGTATGTTATTTACAGTTGAAACTTTTATTTGAAATTGATGCATAAAGAAATTCATAAAACAAAAAGATCTGGCTTTTACTCAAGGCCAAATGTGGCCATGTTTGGCTGACTAGCCTCAGACTAGCCTTCCCTATAAAGAACAGATTTCAGGTGTCCTGTGCCATAAATGAATCATAAGTAGCCCACATAGGGCCAAATATGCAGCACTTCTATGAAATGTGATTACTCCTCATCGAGGTTCTGGCAAAAATGAGCAACAATAAAACTTTTCTTCAATGAACAAATTAAAGGCAGGTTGAAAAGTCCACAGTTACAGTCTTATTCATGATGTTGTGTAAGTGATACAATTGCAAAATGATGGCTGAAGAATGAAAGACTAGAGAGAGAGACAATTTTAGCTCCTCTTGTTTTCAAATTCACATAAAAGGTAATTTTATGTTAAAGACCTCACAGTACTGTATCATCTCAACACAGCACTCCACTCTCACAATGCTGTCTTACTTGTGGTTCCTAGAATATTTAAAAAATTAAATGGGAGGCAGAGCCATCAGCTTTCAGGTCCTTCTTCTGTAAAACCAGGAGGAGGACCATATAGGGCTGTATCAGGTGACCATGAACAATATCTTAGTAACAAGTCTAAGCTGCTGAGGGTTTCCATTATCCACTATTTCTTCTTCATTCATCTCATTTCACTCACTATGTGTTTATACATCACTCTACATTTAATTAGGAGTTATTAGTGTGTATTTTGTCTCTATCCCCTCACCCTTAGCATGAAGCAGCAGATGGCTGCACTTCCTTCAGCCTGGTTCTGCAGGAGGTTTCAGCTAATATTGTGCTTTAATGTTGTATATTTAAAAACTGTTTTTCTATTCTTCATTTCGCACAAACCAGCAGAAACACTATAGACCGAACGTCACTGAGAACCACACAATCAGGCTTTGGTCCTGCCATTTGTGGGGTGTGCACTGGCTCATCTCAGTCAGTAAAATGTGACAAAGTGGAAAAGTTAAAGCTTGATGCTCTCAATGTGTATTTTCAGCAATGTTCTACAACATCTGTTAATGAAATACGCAACAGACACACACAGATGAAAGGAGCAACGGTTAGAGCGTACTTGTGCACTCTGCAGCGGGAGTGAATGATGCTTTGTAGTGGTCATACTGTGATTCGGCAGCAGCGGTCGATGCTGCACACCTGAGGAATCTCACACTCAGATAACAGCGGGACTGTCTGGGAAGGAAATGTCAAAGCCCGGAGAACAGACAGCGGTCACACTTACACCTATGAGTGTCTGTCATTGAGCTCTTTGGCACTTAAGGTTCTGAAATCCATCCTACATACAGCAAACCTGCGGCTGAGCTGAGGCAGTGAGACTCACTCTGAGTCAAGGCAAATGTGACACAATCATGAAATGAAGATGGAGGCAGGGCGTGGGCAAAGAATGTTATATTTCACTAGGTTTTCGACAGCCATTACTTGTAACAAAGTTTTAAGTATGCAGTTCATTGATGAATACTCAAAACAAGGACTTACCAATAGCTGAAGAAAACAAAATCAATTTAAAAATTGTTTTAGAAATATATTCATGAAGTTATTTAGATTTAGCACGGAGTGGATCCTCAATTGATCGGGTTGCTGTTTCTAAACAGAACTTTAATGTGTTTTCAGTCCTGAAGATTTGAAGCTGTTGCAGACTTGCTGCTGTGCTTTGAAACATTATCTTGTTACATGACCCAGTTTCGGTCAAGTGTTAGCTGTCGGACAGGTGGCCTCACATTTGGCTATAAAATACTTTGGTATACAGAGGAATTCATGGCCAGCTGAATGACTGCAAGATGCCCAGGTCCTGCAAAACAAGCCCAAATCATTATGCCTCCACCACCGTGCTTGGAGTTTGGTTTAAGGGTTTGTGGTGATATTGTGTTTGGTTTTAACCAAATGCGGTGCTGTGAATGCCCAAACATCTCCACTTCAATATCACCTGTCCAAAGGATATTGTTCCAGAAGTCTTGCGGTTTGTTCAGATGGAACTTTGCAAACCTAAACTATGCTTGGAAGAGGCTTCAGTCTTTTTATAATTGTGCTGTCATTAACTTTAAAATTTAACATGCTAACCTAGGCCTGTAGAGTCTGAGATGTAGATCTTGGGGTTTCTCTGAGTATTGCATGGTAAATGCATTTGATTAGCAGTATCTGTCTGCTGCTAACCTTACTAATTCCCATGTAGGCAGTAAGGGTGCAGTTTAGTCCTAAAACTTTCTTCACATGACCTCATGTCCTGAAACCATGACTAAGGAATAATCACAATTTTTTCCACATCAGATTTCTTTTGTCTGAGACAGCCCAAAATAGCACAGTTTCTAGACAGCATTAGAACATTTAAATGACACATTTAAAGGTTATTATTCTTTTTGTGTGTGTGTTTGTGTCCATATATATGTTTCCTACATCAGTTTTTAGATTTTACACACAAAACAAATGACTACTTTACAAAATGTACATTCTCATACAAGTGAAACCTACTCATATATATAAGTAAAATTTGCCACATCTGAACAAGCAAAAGGATTTCAATTCTTCTCTACCTATAATAATAATATCAATAATAACAATAAACACTGAAAACTGGCAGGAGTTAGCATTGTTATTGGATACTTTTACTTAGCAACAGGATGAAATTACTTCTTCCACCACTGATCCCAGAGCCTCGTCAGATGGTTAATAATGTAATGTTAGTAACAGAGTGAGCTTCAGTCTACACCACTCCCACGTAGACTACACTGAATTCAGACAAGGAGTTAAAGAGGTAACAAATGATTTCTTTAGGCTCTCATATACTAAAAAAATCTTCTTGCAACACGAATTTGGAGGGGGATGTTTACTTTAGATTACCTTTAAACATTTTAACTGGCATCTCTGCATAGATGAAATACGTTTAACTGCAGGAACATTTCCTAGAACATGTTGAATGTGCTGAGATGCTGTTTTGCTATCTAAATAAAACATATGCAGCTGCTTTTTCTGTGAACTAAAGGTCGGTATTTAAATGACCCAGCTAACATGAGCATAACATCTTAAAAGCAAAGCATGGATGAGAAAATTAAAGCCCAAGACGAGAAGGAAGAGCTGTGTTTTGCCGACTTTTTCATCTCTTAATTGTGACATATTGAGTTCATGCACAAAAATCCACTGGGAGCCAGCTAAATTAGACCAAACATAGTTAAACATGCATGTGTGCCATGCCTCAGACCTGCATACAAGCTAACGTTAACATTTTCCAGCAGCCTTCAAACAACCAGCCTGTAATTAGACACTATCATTACATTGTAGCTGAGCTTAGATCATCAACTGAGTCAAGAGCAGCACTTAAATTTAGTTTTAAAGTGTCTTCAGATGTTTGAGCTGTTACAAATCTTTCTGGGAAACAAATTTTTAACCAGCTTGTGCCCAACTGCTACAGCATCTATAAGCTTAAGACACATTTTGGACACTTTTAATGTAATCTGACCTGTTAGACTGCCAAACAGTAACACCTCTGATGGTGAACGTGACTCTTTCATATACAGCCTGCACCACCAGGTGGGATTAATTCGTTTAAGTTGCTCAGCAGCAAGGGTGACTCAGCTAAAACACAGAGCCCACCATGCAGTTTATTTAAAGTAGTTTTAATTCTGCTTGAGTCATGTCAGTGGTTTCATTTAACTGGGTTGCCAGCATAGCTGTCAATTTACCACAAATTATAAGATGGACAAAAAAAACCCTCCCCTGCAGAAGTTAAGATTCCCATAAAAATGTGCTTTTGTGAGTGTAAATGGAAAATGTTCAGACAAATGGAGCAGCATAGAGGTTCTACTTCACCTTGCTGCAGTTGCAGAGCAAAATCTGTGCAACACTCATGAAATGACAGGAAAGACGACGAGTCTTTGAATCATTTTTCCTCCCATAAAGAAAAAAAACCTCAAAACCCAGTTTCCGCTGACTGGTTGCTTTTATTCCCTCTTGGATGCAGAGCGGCAGAGGCAAACCGGTTCAGGAGGGACGAGTCTGGGAAAACTGCTGCACTCATCCCGCAAACTGGCCAAACCATCAACTTGCCATGCTTTCTGCATGATGTTGACTGCACTGACCAAAAATTAGGGTATAGAGAGCCACTGTGAAATTTTGATGCAATTATATTATCTGTGACACATCGTTTTTTTTTTGTTTCAATGCCTGGCAGTGACGCTAGTTGCTTCGCCAGCTGGAGATCTGGAAGCAAGTCGAGTTGGTCTTTTAGTAAATCAATATGTGTGGTTAACCAGTGAGGAAAAAGAGACTGCGTTTGCTTCATAAGCTGCCAAACTTATATATCAGTGATAAAACTAGAGCTGATTTTATTCATAAGGATAATTCTGGATATTTATAGCAATGCTAAGATATTTTTTACTGAAGTAACTGTTTTTGTTTGGGCTGACTGCTCTTTTAATGGGGCCTATTATACTATTATCATATATTCCAGCTCCATATTTTTCCTCTTGGACTCTTGGAGAGCACCATTGCATGATTCACAGCTCAAAATAATCTTGGTGCAACACTTCAGTTCATGTAGTGTCTGAAACAAGCCGTTTCAATTGAGTTCAAATAATTAAACGTATATAATGCCAATTCACAACAACAGTTGCCTCAAAGCACTTTATAGTATAAGGTAAATTCTCAAGAATATTAGAAGGAAACCCCAACAATGAAACGCACTCCTATGAGCAAGCACTTGGCGACAGCGGGAAGGAAAAACTTCCTTTTAACAGGAAAAGGAACCAGGGGCAATGATGGGAAGCCAAATTTAGTGCTGTGTGATACTGCAGATTTTGATATTGATCCGATACCAAGTATTGCAGATACCAATACTTTAAACCTATAAAAGCAGCTTATGAAGGTGAGAACAGTGTGTCATTATTTATTAAATGAATCATCATTAATTTGCCAATTGAAAAAGTAACGTTTTGAGCCTAATCTTGAAAGTACTAAGTGTAAAGTGTAGCTAAGAAAACAACGTACTATGAAGTTTTTGCTCCTTCTCATCAGTTGGGCCAGAAATGCTTTAGTAATAAACAAATTAAGCTTACAGTTAAAGCATTACAGCAAGAGGCAAATCCTATGTAGTAATAAGCTGAGAGGTTAAGGAAGAAAAAAGCTAGCTAAACATCTTAAACCACATCACAAATAACCAAATTAAAACCATGTATATGTGATTAAGCACGATTGGGGTAATTTAACCAGTATATTGATAGGTAAGTAGTGAAGAAACTGGGATGTCTAATGCAAAAGAAGGATAGATTTACAGACTGGTAAAGTGATAAATGTAAGGTGCTTTTTACCTTCCTGCAGCCCTGTAATAGATGTTTCAAAGCTTTTTTTCTGCCTTTGTCAGTTTCTACAGTTGTTCGCGAATGAGGTCATAATTGAAACATGAAAAAATATGATACACAACGCAGGTGTGACACAGTGCCAGTGCATAAAATGTCAAATGAGGTGAGTGAGGACTTTGTTGAGACTACCCAGTCCATGTTGGCTCCTGACGAGCCATTTCTTTCTCCACATGGTTGTCCAGACACTTTGGAAAGACAGACTCATTTGTCTGAAGGTTTTCAGTTTTGGAGAGCTCTGTGTCTGGGCTTCTGTAAAATAATATGGCTATTTTCAGCCTCACGAATCATCCAAGCAGGCTGTAACCACCACCATTATTAATGCTGCCAAAAGCCAGAGTACTGTCGCTTCTCTGACATTAGACTGTATGTAGACTGTGAACGAGCACTGCTGTTCTCCTAATGCAAGGCTCCTGTTCAAGCTTATGTAACACTTTTTAGTTGAAATGATAAATAAGCTTTAGATACTAATTATCTACCTAATTTTTTGTGCTTTTAAGAGCAAAAGGTTTGCGTTTCCATCTCCAGTCTGTTAATGACTCTACAGTCAGAGCCAGATGTTTTAGCAGTGGCAGAAAATGTGTTTCTTACAATAAGCTGCTTTGGTTTCCATTTATATTATTCTTTCTATGATATAGTCAAGAGCATTCATAACCATTTAAGAAGTTTCAAAGATTTTTATTGGCAAATAATAGAAATTTGCACCAGTGCCAAATGTTCAGGTGATGACTTTAGCCATTTCCATGAAGGAGGGGATTTGTGTTCTGTAGCCATGTCAGCATAATCATGTAAGAGGGGAGCAAAGAAAAGTGCTTCAACTGCCCATTGTTTCTTCTTTTAGGTAGCCAGATTTTCTTGACATTTTTAAAAGTGGTCTTGAGAAACAGTTCTCCAGGCTTTCCAAAGGTCTTTCAATGTTTTTCTTTGGACCTTGGCTGATTTTTCCCTCATTTTCAGTTCAGTCCTTGTATCTAATTATTTTCAGAGAAGTGGTTTTTTTTGGTTGTTGAGCTACTTAACACTGACCTATGAATCATTCAAGGATAAAAAGGCATCTGACTCAAGGGATCCAACTATTGTGGTCTGTACAAATAAACAACTTACCTCTTGGCCATTCAATTTATCAATCTATTGTTCACTGAAGCCTCACCAGATAGAAGGGAAACGGCAAGAAAAGAAAAGGCTGAGGTATCTCAACTTACACAAGAACTGGACCGAAAATCAATGGCAACAGGTCTTAGGAAATGAAAGGTTTTGGTTCAAATCAATGTGTATGGAGGACGTCAGAAGAGCAGGACAACAGTGACTGTCGAAAGGGACCCAAACACAAACCCAATGCAGCAAAAGCATACCTCGATAGATAAACTTTCGCTATCAGTCGTGGTTCGGCCTCCCCTGGAATCCGGACCCGCAAATTACTGAAGATGTGTGGGATCATTTTGACAGAGAGCAGAACAAAAGGCAGCCAACACCCAAAGAAGAGCTTTGAATGTCCTTCAAGAAGTTTGGAGAACAGGCTGTGTTGAAGAATAAAGGAAGTCGCACCAAACATTGACTCGAGCTTGTTAGAATTGTACAAACTGTGTCTTATGCACTGCATTTTCATGTATGTTTGCACGTTTCAGCAAATTGCTGCAAGAATTCCCTTTCTACTGTCTGTGCTTGTCAGGGAGTTTTTAATGTTTTATTTGATTATGCTTCAAATGTTATGCTATACTTATGTTCACATATTTCACCAGACAGAGTTTTCTGTTGAAACAGGAAGCTGACCCTGTGACTCTGTGACATTTACCGCAAGAGATCAGTACAGAAATACACATCCGCAGAAGTTGACTTGCATTATCTTATTGTGTGTCTCTCTGTCTGAGATTCACCCGTGCCGCACGTTATCAATCTCAAGTGTCTCAGTGTTGTTTACTCACCTGACTGTTTGTTAACTGTAAATCTCTGATAGTGCTTCTGTTATCACTCATCCTTCATTTAAGCTCGACAACATCAGTTGTCCCACCCATGATGCCGATTGGCTAATCATTAGCTTAGACTGCTGAAAATCTGCATAAACTGATTTTTAGTCACACACCAATATTATTACCTCATAGGTTTGTATCCAAACAAGTTTGACACAAACTTAAAATGGGCAACAAGGATCATTGGGGTTTTTTTGTATGAAATCTTTAAACTTTGCACCCCGTGATTGTGATTTTCCACATGAAAATGCAAACACTTTAGTCTGACATTTATTCACAACACTATAAAGAAACAAAGTGACACCTAAGTGAACTGCAGTCTGACTTCACTTCCTCATATTGTTTACGGATCATTTTCCTAATCATTTTCATGGTGCAGCAGTTTGTTAAGAGTCCGTACAGCCTCCACTTGGTATCTTCACAGTCTCTGTTTGACCTGACCTTCTGCTCAACTCCAGAACAAGGTATGTCCAGAGCTCCTGTGAAAACTGGTCAGCACAAAGGGGAGGCTAAGTGTCTCTGATTTGTCTGGTCAGTACCAGTAGGACGTTCGGTGCCTCCTGTTCTCCTGGATACCGAGTTTCTCCATGACCTCCTCCTCCAGGGTTTTCAGAGATGGTATGTATGTCTTTTCAAGAGCATCTTCGGGACTGGTATCTTTAGGTCCATCTGTGAAAGCAGAATGCATCGTTTCAATTGACACCAACTATTTTTTCAATCATCAGACACTTCTATCACTTTGTTGGACAAACAGAAGACTTTTAGTTTCACACAAGAAGAACTTGAAATAAATAGTGTGCTGGTTCTGCACTAGCAAAAACAGTCCTGCCTATGTGCGTTCAAGTTTAGAAAGAAATATTTCTTCCACTTCAAAACAGTCAAACTGGATCACTTAAAAACAGAAGTCTGAACAGGCGGAAAAATAAACAACAGCTGGTCTTAATGTGACGACTCTAAGCAACCCCTGAAATAAAATGGCTACTGAAATTTACACACAGACTCTTACCTTTCCACTGCTGCGGCACAATGCCATCTCGTCGCTCCACAACTGGTTTCGGGATGATTCTCCCCGTCCTGAGCGACACTCGGACTCTCTCACCCTCTTCTGTGAACCTCCACTCGACCTCAGTGGGTTTCCTGTAAGATCGAGATCAGTAAGTTAAAACTGGTCTGGAAAGATGCCAAAGAGCAGGAGCATTTAAATGGAAAAGGAAAAAGAAAAAGAAAAGGTGAACTATTTTTTGACTTTAGATTGCTGTGTTATCACAATTATTTTAATGGTGCTGTAAAGGAAAAGAATATTGTACAGATGCACAGAGATTACAGATTGCTGTTTTTTCACTAGAAAATCTTATGTTAAAATCTATTACAGCTGTAAGTTTTAACACTTACAGTTACAAAAATTAACTATTTATTTATTTGTTTTTTTTAAGGAGCCAAACTAAGACTGAGAACTAACCCGTGGTCCATCTAGTTTAAGGTTCTGCATAAGCATAGCAACAGATGTTAGGACTGAGGCAGAGTTCAGCATACCTGTCTGAGGGGTCAACGAGGGCAACATCACGGACCAGGATGGGAGCCTCACTGGCAATGTACGTCCCACGGTAATCTGCAGTTTTTCCAATATACCTGTGATGCTACGATGGGAAAAAAAAGTTCACAGTTCTCCCATTTAAAAGGCACAAAATGCAAACAGATGAATGCCAAAAGGCTCTCAATGGTGTGCTTTGTCTGCAGCTACACCCTGACCACCCACATCCCAGACATCTGGCTCCACCTGGTGGAGCAACGAGATAAGTATGAAGCATTTTTAAAAGAGCTAAAAAAGAAATGGAACAGCTAATATAATTTTGGGGGAAATGAAAAAATCTGTAATGTAATCATGTCCAGGACAGTTCAAGTGTATGCTGAAAATTTTTTGTAGGAAAACAGATAGCCTTTCATCTTCTCCCAACACTTACACAATGCTCACTCAATAAAAGGCATGTAACTTACATTTCAAAAGCAAAATCTATAATGCGCATTTCTCAATAAACAAATTAAAAAAAATAAACAACACTTCCTTACTGTGTTCAGTCCCTCCAGGATGACCCAGTTTCTGCGTCTGAAGACTTGGATAACTTTCCCCTGCTTTCCCTTGTCATTGCCTTTCCGAATCTCAACCTGAGAAATCAAAAGCAAACATTTAAACTCTATGTAGGACATTTACTACTTTAAATAAAATGAATATACTTTTTTGTTACTTTACCAATTCGTTGACTGAATTTTCCTAAATTAGTTTTCATGCATGTTTACAACAGATGTATGTTACTTCTCCTGACTCTATCAGTTGTGGCTACACCAAAGTAATTACAACATTATTAGCATTAGCTGTATTACAGATTAAAACTTTATCAACATACAGATAAATCACATGAACACATACTGGACTTAATTTTAATATTATCCTCATTATCGGTTGCCTTGTATAGTTTTTTTCTACTATGTATTGCAAAGCTCTGTTTCTTCTTGGTTTTAGAACAACGGGGGAATATAAATGGTGAGTGGACTGCTTCTTATATTGTGCTTTTCTATTAGCACTCAATTGTGGGGTGAAACTTTGGAAAGCTTTACACCAAACACTGAATATTAGACAATATAAACCTATCAATATAAAGAAAAATATTTGCACAATATGAGTCAGATGAAAGCTTGACAGCTGAGTCCCAAAAAATGTTTTCTCACCGTGTCCCCTTTGAGCACAGACCACTCCTCTGGCGCTATCGGCTCAACAAACACCTTCCTCCTCCTCTTCCCCGGTGGATTTAACCTTTTAGCAGCGGCTGTCCACGGCCTGTTGGTGCCGTAACGGTAATCTTTGGGCACAATGACCCTGGCTGCCATCGACAGCAGAGCGGTCAGCCTCATTGTGCTGCAAGTCAAACAAGGGTGCTGAGGGTTTTTTTCCAAGAGGCTGGCAGCCATACACAGGAGCAACGCAAGCTAGGCTAATATGAATTATGCTATCAATAACGTTAGCCTAGAGCGGCTAACTCGCCGCCGTTTACGTACACACAAACATTTCACATATGAGACTGCTGCCTAATTTTTTTTAAGTACAACCCTAAAAGTAGATGTATTAAAATACAATAAAAGAACGTCATGCAGAAATCACTTACCCTCTGTTGATGTCAATGACACATGTAGCGGAGCTGACACCTACAGGAACCTACCGGTAGCGCCACCTACTGGACAGGAGGGTCGCAACAGGCCTCACGCATGCGCAGTTGCTAAATTGACCGATATGTGGGCAGTATGCAGGCAGAGCAGGCTGCTTTGGGCAAGATGACCTTCACACTGCTGCAGCTGCTGCTCAGTATATTCAAGCCATACAATACTAAGAGTGACTCAATAAAGAACGCAATATTTTATTACATTTTTAAATAAAATATAACACCAAGAGGAAACGTTTTAAAATTAAGTAAGGCAAATGTGTCTAAGACAAACTTAAAAAATCTTTTTGAATGAATGCCATTTTCAACAATTCCAGCTTCTTCAATAGTGCACCTGTTTAAGTGTTCATTGAATACAGATCGTCTGGACCTGGCTTGATATGCAGCAACTCATTTAGACATGTAGACATGGTCAAGATGACCGGTTGAAATTCAAACTGAGCAGCAGAATGAAGAAATAAGGTGATTTTACTGACTTTGAACATAGCACAACTGTTGGTCTGAGTATTTCAGAAGCTGCTGATCTGTTGAGATTTTCACACACAACCATCTGTAAACAAGAAACAAGAAAATATCCAGTGAGCAGCAAAGAAAAGAACAGCTATACTGCTTTGAGCTGATGGGAAACAGTAATTCAAATAACCACTTATTACAACCACAGCAGCTTAATGCACCATCTCACAACATTCAAATAATCTCAGACCACTTTCCTGAACACTGGTAGAAGGGGAGATTCACATCATGGATGAGCAGCTGAGGAATGCTTCCAGCACCTCATTGAATTAATACCACGAAGAATTAAAGCAGCTCTGAAGGCAAAAGTTGGTCCAACCTGGTGCTAGCAAGGTGTACCTAATGAAGTGGTTGGTGGGTGTATGGATTTGCTACTACATTTTTGCGGATTCCAAAAGGTTATGTGTAAAACCTGAATGGCTCAGTGTGGAAATATTTAATTTCAAGGCCACCCACTGAGGCAGATGCAGGCCGTGATTACAAGCCTCGCTGCTATGTCACTGTGACAAGCACGAGTGATATTTAAGCACGAGAGGAGGCTGTCATTTATGAAAACCTGCAATCATACATGTGACTGTTTGTCCTTGACCTTGGATTTTGGTAAACATCCATGTTTGCTGCAAGCGAAAGATGGATTTTTACCTTTCTGGGTTACAAAGACAGACAATAAAGCTAATCTGTGTAAGCACAGACACAGTCATTAATCTAGAGAGCCGGATGAACAGACACCACATCGCATTCCAAAATCAGTTTCAGCCCACGGTTGAAACTGACTACGCCCTAATACAGTAGTTAAAACAACTTGTGCTTAACCTAACCCCACAGCAAACTTAGAGCTGTCAGGACATGTTACGTAACAACAAAACTAGTTCAGCTACCACAGCCTTTGGGGCCGAACCGCACAGAGAGGCTCTGCGTAAGCAGCAAATTATTTGTGGCAGCTGCATAGAGACACAAAACACGTTCCATTGTTAATTTCCTGCATTTTTTTTTAAATCAGAGACAATAATTAGATGTGAAATAATTAATTTTAGTTGTTCTGTAAAGTTACGGTAGCCTTTCCCATGCTCTGAGCTCGATTTAGAGCAACAGATCCCACATAATACTTGGTTTTCAGCAGGCACTGTACTGACTCAATAAAAATAGACAATCCTGATCGTTAAAACCAAACACAACAACTAATGTGACTGTTTTGGGTTCTTTCCAGAAAGCTGATACCCTAGATTAGTTTAAGTAAGGCAGAAACAAGTGTTTTTTTGTAATCAACATGTTTATTAAATGGTCTGGCAACTACAATAGTAAACAAAGCAGCAGATTAAGATGAATGGCAGCTTCCAAAGGTAACAGAAGGCTAACCCCCCCCCCAAAAAAAAACAACAACAACAACAAAACAAAGTTTTACACTTTAATTCCAAATTAAACTTTTGAATAACCTCCAGATCCGGCCTTTGACCATTTTAAGGTTTTTAAATCAGCGGTGTGACGATAGGAAGGTGGCCATCTTCGACACAACATTCAGAGCTGAGCTTTCCCTTAAAAGTTCATAGTGTGATAAACTATCAGCTAACGCTGCTAATTACATGAAAGAACACTGAAGCGATGACGATGACATCCAAATGGCGTGGGTGAAAGGGCCCGAACCCCTTGGGATACTGTTACAGTGGAAAATAACACCATATTCTGAACATGTCGTCTAAACAGATGTTGGAATAAAACACGTCACAACTTTGTTTCACAGTCAAAATAATAAGACCACTGAAGTAAAACAGATTAGTATTCCAGTTAAGAGGGTGGGAAACCAAGAAAAGAAAGTCATAAACTGAAGATTTACAAAAGGTTCACTCTCTGTATTTACCCATATTCAGTTTCTTGTTTCTTTCAATGAATCTCACTTTGTGTAGTCCAGATCAGCGACTCGTTTCAAAGGTGTTGAGAATACATTTCTGAACACAAGTTTTTTTTTTTCAACAGCTTCAAGCAACAGTGGAACTACTGTAAGCTAAACATGAAATCACAACATGAAACTGAGTTTTAGAAGACTTTTCCAGATAATTTCCACATGGAGGGGTGATGCCAACAACCTTTCCCTTGCAGTCATTACCACTGCTCCACATTACCTTTAAGGCTCAATTTCCCCAGATAAGGATTAAGCCTACACCAGCATTTTTTTCTAAAATTTTTTCCAAGTCTGCCACTAGAATAAATCGATGTTTGGGAAACCTGATGCTAAAGTTTAAAGATTCTGCTCAGACAGAACATCACTCAGGAATGTCTCCTTACGTAAGGCCTCAGTCACACAGGCCTACGGACAAGTCGGTAACTACCAAGCAACCTCCGGTCACCAAGAAGAAACGTGCACTCTCTGACCATTTGGCGAGCGGTTGTTGCTAGCTCATATCAGTAAAAGACATGGATGAAGCTAACGTGGAAGTGCCCTAAATCTGCATTCTATCTGAACTGTAATTATAAATAGACTTCTGGTCCCATTGAACAGCTTTCTTTCTTGACTCTTATGTTCATGGGCTTAGTCACTAATTCTAGATCTGTTAGAATTACAATTAATCCCTCCTTGTGATTAATTTGGTTACTAGCAGATTACCACAGTCTACTGTAGTTTGGGAGGGAGACACCGAGTTGTCTGCAAACACTTGCCAACTAATGGTTCTGCGGAAGTGAAACTTTTTGAAAGTTTGACACAAACAGGAAATAAAGAACGTTCCGACTTCAGAATACAAGTTTGCACCCAACATCTTTGGGGAACAGTCTCAGTTTCTGAGTTGTGTTTTACTACAGCTACGCAACTAGGTGACAAATGTCTGCAGACAAGTCGGCATCTTCTACACAAGTACAGCAACTTGAGAGCACGCAAAGCAGGTTTTCAGTGCAGCTCCGTATATTTCTTTGCAATCAGTTTCACCTTGCAACTGCCAGCAACTTCTCACCAAGTGATTGGGAATACACATTTAAGTGGTTGCCAGATAGTTGCCAACTGGTTTCTAGGCCTGCATGACTGAGGCCTAAACTGAGTAGCAGAGGGGCTTAAATCCTAAATTTGCTTTTCTCAAAAGGGGTTTACATAATTAATTCTACATATGGGTTCCTGTGAAATGAATCACGTACTTTGGTCACTCGCAATCAAGCATACACACCGAAACAACAAATGTTGTAGGGCAAAACAGACGACGATTAATGGGGGCAGGAAAAAAAAAAACCACAAACAAACAAACAAAAAACCTCTGAATATTCAATCATGTTTCGAATGAATGAATAAATGATTTAAATGAGGCTGAAAAGCTAGGTGATACAAATGGAAGCAGTAAAATTATGAACTTAAGCTAAGAGCATTGATGAAAATTTGTTCTATCGCCTGTACAATATCTACTTTTTAAAACCATCAAATGGGAGCATTTGTCAAATAAATGGTTTTTTCCTTGTGATTTTAATGTTTGTTTGTTTCTTAAATTTACCATATATTCAGTGTTTATCCCCTCTAAGCTGAAAAATGTTTTGACACCTAGCATTCAGTCGTTGTAATTGCACTTAGAAATAAAAAATATATACACACCAAAATCCCATTTATAAATGAGCCCTAAAGTGCTCAATTCAATTGTTTTGAAATCAGATTAGCAAACTTTTTCTTTCTGGGATATATGATATCCCAAAAAATGGCAAATGAGTATTTGTTTGTCTCTCAATACAAACATTTAGGTTGTTTTGTTTTTTTTAATTTATTTGTTTGTTTTAAAATTCTCTTATTAATTAAACGGCTGAAATCTGGCATCCTGCAGGTAATTGTGTTGATGCTTAAATTCCAGAGAAAAGCGTCAAAGGTTCGTGGTTTTCTTCTGAGTCGATGTTAAGCGCTGTCTGTCGCAGGCTGTGGGAACAAGAGGGAAAAGCAATTAAAGAATTTATTTCATTTTATTTTCATCCACCGCCTGAAATTCAAAAAGACGTGGGGAATGTACTTTTTATATTACTGATACATCAAGTTTATTTAAAATACATGATGTAAGCACTGGCTTTTTACATTAATAATTTTTTTGTGTGTAGACAGTTTCCTTAACTAATTTTCAGAAGTTTCAGAACTTGTCCACATGTTTAAAAAACAAACAAAACCCCCCAAAACAACAATACACTATATGGACAAAAGTGCTGTTCCACCAAAACAGTAAACTTACAGCAGCTTCTGGGCAACAAAGCTCCCAGTGCACAGGTTTTGTGCTGATGTTAACGCCAGAGGAGGTTTAATCTCTGAAGTTAGTGAATCAGCAGAGCGTTTTATGCACTCCACATTCAGCAATCTGCTCTCCATCTTCACATGACTTAGCTGCTGTGATTCTTAAACACTTTCACTTTGCACTTATACAACTTACAGTTGATTGCAGAATATCCAGAGAGGAGGAAATTTCACAAATTGACTTGTTGAAATAGTGACATCCTATTACAGTACCACACTAATTCAGTGATATCTTTAGAATGAGCCATTCTTTAACAAATGTTTGCAAAAGCAGACTGCATGACTAGGACATTGACTTTATGCACTCA